TCATAGAGAAATGATGCCCCCTCCCCTCTCCCATCCCGTCTTTATCCACTAACAAAATATTAATTAAAAAAATCAAGGGGCATTAATCATTCAGTAATAGCCTTTCTTTGGAGTGGATGTGTGGATTTATATAGGGATGGAAGGGGTGAGCATGGTTGACCTTAGGTGCACATTCCCCTTACTATTCTCTCACTAATCCATTCTGAAAGGGTTGTGGTGTCTTATTTGTCCCCTGGTTCTTGACACCCTAGTTAAAGCTTTAAAAAAAATTTTTTTTAGCATTGCCTCCTTATTGATAGAATACCATTAGCATATTAAACCCACTCTCATAGAGTTGATTCTGTATCATAGTGACCCCATATAGGATTTCTGAGGTGGGAATCTTTATGGGAGCAAATTGCAGAACAGAGTGTATGTGTGCACCACTTACCCTGCAGGAGCACCAGGGCCACTCACAGTAAGAATAGTAGGCCTGGATAATACATGTGCACAAATTCACTTCAGAATTTTAAGTTCCTGTGTATTCTTTTTTTTTAAATCATTTTATTGGGAGCTCTTACAGATCTTATAACATTCCATAGTTCAATCACATCAAGCAGTATTGTACAGTTGCTACCAATCAGTTTCAAAACATTTTTTTTAAACATTCTCTTTCTTCATGAACTCCTTGATATCAAGTTCCCTTGATCCCCTCCCTCCCCCACCAGAAACCCTTATTTTTATTCATTCATTCGTTTACTTTTTTATGTTGCATCTTATACCATCCAATAAACCCACTTACATACAGTTCTTTTGTTTGCTCCCCTCAAGTGGGGTTACACAGTCATCAGTGCTGTCAGCTGCTCCCTTTGCTTCCCGTTCCCTCAGGGAACCATTACTCCTGTTACTGTTTCTGAAGGGTTATCTATGTTGACTTCTGTGTATCGAACAATCTTAATTATACAAATGAACATATGCAATTCTAGCATGATTAATGAGGGAAAACAAATCAAAGCCATAATAGTAAGGGGAAGAAATATGAAAGAACTAGAGGATAGTTATGTGTTTCATCTGTGCTGTACCACACCCTGGATTTATCATCCCTTCTGTATGGCCCTTCTGAGAGGGACCATCCAACTAACTTGCAGGTGGGCTTTGGATCTCCACTACATCCCCACCCCTTCACATCAATTTGGTTGCTTGGTTTTGAACTTCTGACAGCTTTCCTCATTGACATCTCATGATCACACAGGCTGGTGTGCTTCTTCCATGTGGCTTTGTTGCTTCCCTGCTAGCCACTTGTAGGCTTTGTTGCTTCCCTGCTAGATGGCCACTTGTTTGACTTCAAGCCTTTAAGACCCCAGACACTATATCTTTTAATAGCCAGGCACCATCAGCTTTCTTCACATTTCCTTCTGCACCCATTTTGTCTTCAGTGATTATGTCAGGAAGGTGAGTATCATACAGTGCCACATTACTGTAACAAACCATTCTTATGCTGAGGTAAGATTTAAGTAGAAGCCCAAAGTCCATCTACTTCCTTGTTGCATTTGCATTCATAAACATGTATAAACAAATATACCTGTATTTAAATAATTATGTGTATATACTTACATGTATATACCTGTATATATATATTTCTTTTCTTCTTCTTTCCTCTTTTTCTTTTTTCTTTCCTCCTGCCCCACTGTCATGTTTACCCATTATTCACTTCTCAGTAATTCTTTTCAGATACAATTGTATTAATCAGACACAATCAGAAAAGCTACATCCTCTTCGCCATCCATTTTAGAACCCTTACTATTCCCCTGTACCAGTCTTTATTGGCTCATTGCTCTCCTCACCCTGCCTCCATCCCCTCCCATGCCCCCAGGAACAGTCTGTCCTGTCACTGTCTCCTATCTTGTATAGATACACACACA